GTGGTGTCACCCAAAGCTCCGTATTTAGCCTCAATACTAGAGCGAGATAGAATAGCTTGTTTCTTATTACGCCATGAAATAAGAGAGTTACTAAGAAAGAGACAATAGCCAGTAATGGATCTTCGATCTATAAGATCACCAACCAAGTCAGCATCTGAATATGCATGAAGTACAAGAAAGGAATGAGCTGAGAAGTGAAGTCCATGAAATAGTGTTCCCTTAACATAGCGAATAATGCGAAGTATAGTAGCATAATGAGTGGAACGGGGAGCAACCATAAACTGACTAACAACATGAACTGCATATGCTATGTCTGGACGTGTTGTAGTAAGATAAACCAAACTCCTAACCAACTGTTGATAACGAGTAGGGTCAGGAAGTAGAGAGCCATCTAATGATGTGAGTTTGATGTTTGGTTCAAGAGGTGTGGAGACAATCTTGTTATCAGTGAGACCAACTTTAGATATGAGATCTGATGCATATTTCACCTGAGAGAGAAGATAGCCATCATCTAAGGATGTAACTTCAAGTCCTAAAAAATAACTCAAAGAGCCAAGGTCTTTCATCTCAAATCTGTGGTTGGGAAACTGCTTAAGTTCATCAATCCCTGAAACATCATCTCCAGTGATAATCATATCATCAACATATATGAGTAAGAGAACCATTTCCTGAGTAGATTTATAGCCAAATAAAGTAGTATCATGTGGACTAGATGTGAAACCAAACTCACTTACAGTATAAATGAATTTTGCAAACCAAGCTTGAGGAGACTGCTTTAAACCATATAAGGCTCATCGTAATCAACATACCTTATTTGAAGGATGAGTAAGTCCAGGAGGCAGTTTCATATAAACCTTCTCTTCCAAATCACCATTAAGAAAGGCATTCTTCACATCCATCTGAAATAACTTCCATTTATGTACAATAGCAATAGCTAGTAGATTGTGTACTGTGGTAAGATGAGCAACATGAGCAAAGGTCTTTTCATAGTCAATGCCATATTCTTGTGTAAAACCCTTTGCCACTAGGCGTGCCTTATAGCGCTCCACAGATCCATTAGAATGAGTTTTGATCTTGTATACCCACTTGCACCCAAAAAGAGTTTTATTAGTAGGAAGATCAACCAAGTCCCAAGTACTTGTCTCTTCCAAAGCTTGTAATTCCTCTTTCATAGCTTGCTGCCATAGAGGATCTAAAGAAGCTTCCTTGTAGGACTGAGGTTCATATAAAGAGGTAAGTGCAGAAAACAATGGTAATCTTGAAGATATGTAGGTGGATTTCTTACCTGATTAGAATGACTGGAAGAGGAAGCAACTGGTGAATTTTCAATCTCATTTGTTCCAAGTGCAATATCTATAGAAGAGAAATCTTTTGAAACATGAGTCATGGTAGTTTAATCATTTGAAAGCTCATTAGGAGACCCTGCATCATCATTAGGAAATAACTCAAGGGATGGATTAGTAAAGATAGAAGTTTGATGAGAAAGAGACACCTTGAATTTAGAAAGAGAAGTAAACATAGTATGTTCCCAAAAAACAACATGCTGAAAGACACGAAGTTTTTGTGATATTGGATCCCAACAACAAAACCTTTATGGTGTATCCCATACCCTAGAAAACAACAAAGTTGAGCTCGAGGCTCTAACTTATGATGTTCATGAGAAGGTAAAAAAACAAAACAAGCACAACCAAAAATTTTAAGAAGATCATAGGCAGGAAGAATACCATAGAGACACTCATAGGGAGATTTATTTTGTGTGACTGTGGATGGGACTCGATTTATGACAAAGACTGTTGTAAGTGCAGTTTCACCCCAAAAATGCTCAGGACATGAAGAGGAAATCAGGAGAGAACTAAGTCCAAAATATGACAATTTTTACACTCAACCCGCCCATTCTGTTGAGAGGTTTATGGACAAGATCTTTGTTGTATTGTGCCCTGCTCTTTAAGAAAAGACTGAAATTTAGAATCAAGATATTCAAGAGCATTATCAGTCCTTAAGACATTAATAGTTTTAGAGAATTGAGTCTTTATCATATTAGCAAACTTAAAGTAAATTTAAGGTAATTTTGAGCATTTCTTCATCAAATACAACCAAGTGAAGCGAGAATAATCATCAACAAATAACACAAAATATTTTGAACCACTCATGGTAGGAGTGGGAAATGGCCCCCATATATCAGAATGTACTAAATCAAAAGTTGCAAGTGAAATGGAATCACTTTTATTAAAAGATAAAGCATGTTGTTTAGCAACTTGACATGAGACACAATGTAAAGACTCTTCTTTAATAGAACCTAGAGACCCATTTTGAATTAAAGGACAAAGTTTACTAATAGAGGCATAACCAAGATGAAGATGCCACAAGTGTAAAGAGAAAGAT